CTCCGGAAAGCAGATAAGGGTGGGGAGGGAAAGCTGTCTTTGGTGGTAGGGTCGGATTGCAGATGGCGGAAGTGTCGGAGGATGATGCGTTGGATCCGGAGGTTGGTGGGGTGGTACGTGAGGACGAGGGGGATTCTTTTTTGGTTGTTATTGCGGGGACGGGGTGTGAGGGATGAGTTGCGGGAAATGTGGGAGACACGGTTGAGGGCGTTCTCAACCACTGAGGGGGAGAAGTTGCGGTCCTTGAAAAACGAGGACATCTGAGATGTACGGGAGTGGAATGCCTCATCCTGGGAGCAGATGCGGCGGAGGCGAAGGAATTGGGAATAGGGGATGGCATTTTTGCAGGAAGGTGGGTGGGAGTCGGTGGGCTTGAAATGGATATCGGTTTCTAGGTGGTTGCCCGAGATGGAGACAGAGAGGTCCAGGAAGGAGGGAGAGGTATCAGAGATGGTCCGGGTGAACTTAAGGTTGGGGTGGAAGGTGTTGGTGAAGTGGATGAACTGTTCGAGCTCCTCGTGGGAGCACGAGGTGGCGCCGATACAGTCATCAATGTAACGGAGGAAGAGGTGGGGTTTAGGGCCAGTGTAGGTACGGAAGAGGGATTGTTCCACGTAACCTACAAAGAGGCAGGCATAGCTTGGGCCCATGCGGGTACCCATGGCCACCCCCTTTGTCTGTAGGAAGTGGGAGGAATTGAAAGAGAAGTTGTTGAGGGTGAGGATGAGTTCAGCCAAGCGGATGAGGGTGTCAATGGAGGGGGACTGGTCGGGCCTGCGGGACAGGAAGAAGCGGAGGGCCTTTAGGCCATCTGTATGGGGAATGCAGGTGTATAGGGACTGGACATCCATGGTAAAGATGAGGTGTCGGGGACCGGGGAATTGGAAGTTCTGGAGGAGGTGGAGGGCGTGGGTGGTATCACGGGCTGATTTAACGTTAGTCAATCAAGTTATTAACCTAAACTGTTTTGGTGTCTGATTCAGTGCTGTAAACTAAATTTGTCTGAATCAGTAATCATATTTTAAACTGGTACGTTGGTCTTTTTATAAAATAAAATTTGGTTTTTAGCTTTGTGTTAAGAGGTTTGCTCAGATTTTGTTTGTCTACATGTTCCTCCAAGAGCTGAATTTTGTTTTTTGATCCATATCTCTTGTTCCCTTTAGGGTTTCGATATAATTTCTTAAGATGAGTGAAAAGTCCTGTTAATTACAGATAATTATTCACCGTTCAGCTGTAGTGGCAAAAGCCCTGAGCTGAGTTTTTCTGTAATTATAAAACCCCACATTCATGGTCGTATTTTACAAATCAGTTTGGATCCTTGCTTTTTCACTATTTTTTTCTGTTCTCTCTATAATGGGATCCAAAGACGTTTACTTATCATTTCAGCAAGAGACTGACAATGATCTAGTAACAATTCAATTTATTTCTTTGTTCTATATTCTATACTTTAAGGTATGGTGGAAGGATCTATTTTTATGTTTTAAAGCTCAGAATTACTTGTGGTTTCATTTTATTCATTTTGTAAAGTTGCATAATGAGGTCTCCTGTATTTAAAATCTTGACCTTGTGGAATTACTTGGATCCTGTAATTCATCAAGTCTGTTGAATGTTTCAGGTTTCTTAATTTGATAAAAAGCAGTTGTTATTCCCCAGTATTCTATTTTTTGCCTATAAATGGTTATGTTCAAGTATTAAATGTCTCAAAAGAATGCAAAGAATTTCTTGCAATTCTTATGACAATCAACCTGGAATGTTGAACTGTGCTACATATACAAAAGACATGAAGGCTTGTGGTAAATAGGGAAGAATTGTTTCTATTGGCAGAAAGGCTGTAACAAAAGCATATGAATTTAAAGCAATTGATGAATGAATTTAAAGTAATTGGCAAAAGATTTTTTATGCAGTATGCAAATATGATTTTAGATGGATGCCTAAAAACATGTTGAAGGCCAATTTTATAAGTAACTTTCAAATGGGAATTGGATAAATACTTGAAGGAAAAAAAATGTTGGAGTGTTGGTAAATGGTAGCACAGTGGCTTTTTTCTAGCACAATTTAAACTCCAGTTCTAGGAATCTACACTCTCAATGCTTATGTTCATTTGGATCTCTAACTATTTAGGCAATAAGAGGCAGTCTGGTGATGTAACTTGGGCAATGTAAATAAAGTAATAAAGATAATACTCAAAGCTAGGCAATGATTTCGCTGGCCCATTGTGAATCTTGTTTCTTGATTCTGTCAAATGTCATTTCTGTGTCTCCGTCTCAGCTTATCAGTGTGTCCTGAGTGAAGGAGCCATCTGCTAATATGTTTTAAATATTTTAATAGTGACTCTTGGTACTTGGAATGAGTTGATTAAAATAATGCAGAAATGATAGTAGATAATATTTTAAGTATGTACAAAGTGGATATGAAATCAATGCATTAAGACTGTGAAAGAGTTGTGGTATCAGGATTGTTTAAAAAATGCGGTGTGATAGTTTTAATTGATACATATTCAGAAGTCATAAAAGTAAAAAGAACTATAGCTATATAGTTTATCACAAAACTATCGTACAATTTTTATATTTAAAGAAAGAAAATATAGTGCAGTTCAGCCAAATGTGATTGCTTCTTTTTGAAATGTCGCTAGTTTAATTAATAGCTTTTTGTGTAAAAAGGTCTACATTAGGTTTTTCTAACGTGTGTCCACCTTGGGAATGAAGCTAGGCATCCTACTTCATCTGTGCCTTTTAAAGCCTGATTCCTGAACAATTCCCTCCACATTTCTTCTGCACAGTACATGACCTCAACTCAGAATCACAGAATTGTTACAACATAGAAGAAGGCCTTTCAGCCCAACATGGCTGTGCCATTTCTGTAAATGAACATCTTTCTTAACGGATCTTAATCATTGGTTTTTTTCCCCATTTCGTGTCAAAATCTTGTACACTAGTGCCCTCTGAACTGTTTTGGCTTTGTTACCCCGGTGTATCCACTTCGTAGATCATTTCCAAGTGTTCACTTCATCTTTTCTTTGTTGTCTACTTGAGCTCTACATAACAACAGCATATTTTTAAGAGACTCCAGTCAGTATTCCCCTTGACACTAAACTTCCCAAACTTTTCCCTGACTTGATAGTCTGTTTTAAGGAATTGGGATTTTTTTTTATGAAGAAGACACCTGAAGTCACTGTGCAGCCAGTTAAGATTTACGTGCAGAGCCCATTGTGGGCAATGGCAAACCATCAAAAGTGGGCGGGGGAGCTGTGGGGAGGAGAGGGGAATGGAGAGAAAATAGAGCTCTGTAACTTCTATGGTACCCAACTGTCCCTGAAGGCATCAATTGCATTAATAGACACTGCATACACCCTCTCCAGTGACACCTTGACACAAACATAACGGAGGATGAGGGAAGAGAGTCAGCAGATATGATGCCCCCCCCACCCCCACACAGCCCACTATATGGACCTGTTAATGACTAGCCTCTGGGTCTGCTTTTTTTTTAATATATCTGGAAGTGTTATCTCACGCAACTGAACAACCTTCCCACCACCCAATCACTGTGACTTTGTTATTATTTTCAAGCTATTAACGACGATTTATGCAGCCAATTGGAAATTTACTTGTGAAGCCTATTATAGGCAATGTGATTGGTCTGCTTTTTTTTTCTACATCTAGTCAAAGTTAAGCCACGTTTTTAGATATTTTGTAAACAACCTGTTCAGAAATGTTATTACACACCTCTGGACCAATTGAGACTTGAAACCAGGCCTCCTGGTTCAGAGATAGGGACACTACCACTGCACCACAAGGGCCCCGAGGCTACTTTACATCTTTAAATCACCAATTCCTTCATGTTTTTCAATCAACCTGTTCAAAGGTGTTGTTACATACCTCTGTAACACATGGGACCTGAACTCAGGTTCTTGTGGTTCATAGAAAGGGACACCACCATGATACCACCACCGCCCTGTTTTTGTTCCTTTCCAGACATGCTATCCCACACAACTGATCGACTTTCCCAATACTAAAATCATGACCTTTTTTGCATTTTTCCTTTAACTACTGCTAGTTATCACCCGTGTAGCCAATTAAATATTTATAAGCAAAGTCATTATGTGCAATACAAACCATCAAAATTGCGGAGGAGGTAGAGAGAGGGGTAAGGGGCTAAATCAAAATGGAGTTGGAGGGAGAAGCCCTGCGCTTTTTTTCTGTTTAATCAACCTGTTCAGAGGTGTGTTTACACACTTCTGGACAGGTGGGACTTGAATCTAGATCTCCCAGCTCAGAAGTAGAAACACTACCACTGTGGCGCAGGGGCTTCAAGCCCTGCTCTTTTTCTCTCTTTTATACAAAGCCCTGCTCTATAATATTTTCTATTCAGCCTGCTCAGAAATGTCAGTACATACCTCAGGAACAGGGGGGACTTCAACTCAGGGCTCCTGGCTCAGAGTCGGGGAACATACCACTGTGCCTGAAGCCCTTTTTTTCCTCTCCTATTCTCTTCTAAACTTTTTTTAAACCTATTAACAAGGGAAATCATACTCAATGAGATCCAGGAGGAGGTTAATTCATGATTTCCCATGGACATGGTAGGGGTTATCACAGTGCTATATGCTACTTTTGTTATGTTATTGACTTCTTAAATAATGTAATTATTTAGATCTTTTTATATGTATATATAAATTTGAGATTATTTAGAAAGAAACGCGTAAGTAAATTCCTTTCAAACTAAGTGCTCTGGACTGAACATGCTTATTTTAGTATATTTTACAGATTATAATATGAGCCGAACCCGGGAATTGGGACTCTGAGCTGTTTCATTATACATTTGTATTTAGGATAGAAATGGGAAAATTATCTTATGGTAACAGTAAATATGATTTGTTGTAAACTTGTATAGACTCTTCTAATCGATCTGTAATTTGTTGCAGATAATATCCCTGAGGATTTAAGAGATGCTTTCTACACCGACCAGTATGACCAAGAGCACATTAAACCACCTGTCATTAAGTTGCTGCTGTCGAGTGAACTCTATTGTCGTGTCTGCAGCCTAATTCTGAAAGGGGATCAAGTGGCTGCATTGCAGGGTCATCAGCCTGTCATTCAAGCATTGTCTCGCAAAGGCATTTATGTTATGGAAAGTGATGATTTACCAGTTTCCGAATCAGACCTCGCGCAGTCTCCAATCAAAATGGTGAGGGAGAGATACTCTGCTGCTTCTATAAACCTTTTGAGTTTTATTTTCATTTAAATTAGTGTTAATATAGTATCTCTGGACTAGTTTGCCTCTTTTTTTGAATTATTAAATCAGCTTCCTGTCATACATGGGTAGGAAAATCAAAATGCATAACACAGAAGTAATCGCGTGGATATAGTTACCTGCCATTATTACTCTTCCAAATACATTTGTATCAGTACTTTAGTAGCAGTCGGTTATTAGTGTTGGTGCAGGGGGGTGGTGGTGGTTGCTGGATAGAGAACTGTGATATTGAATGTAATGAAGCCATGAATGTTTTAAATGTATTTGGACAGTCCTTTGCGTTCAAAGTTGGCCATTCTTTTTGGGTAGAGAATTGGTCTTGCCATCTAAGCTGCTGAGAACGATTTGAATGGAAACCTCTCCTGCATGTTCACAGACTGTTGCTGTTCATATTTTCTGTTTCAATTTTTTCCTCTAGATTCATGCACTAATGGTCATATATCCCGAGGGATGCCATTGTTTGGCTGATGAATTAAGAGAAATCCTCATTGTTGACTTTGACATTACATAGTGTACGGTCATAAATGATCATGTCTTTGTGTTTCCAGTGCTCACTCTGCCTCAGCTTTAGGCCAGGAATTCGTTGCATTCTCTGTGACCCCTTGCAACATAGTTGTGTTGATAGTCTGCTGCTGATATGTGTTTGTTTTATTCTGACATGTGAGATTTGCAGTACTGTACCTGTGCACTAATGTTTCACCAGTCCAATGCATGAGTTTGATTATGTGTCTGTTTTCTGTCATGGTATTATTTTATATCCTGGTGCTGGAGTGTTCATAAGTTGAAATAACTTGACCAGCTTCAGAATCTGGGCTAACATGAGGATTGTGAGAGACCAGGGAAATAAATAAATTCTCATTGTGGCAGCAACACGGACTTCCGCAAACTTACTTTTGCTTGTGCTGCTGATTATATGAAAACTGCATGGAGATGATAGCATAACAGTAATGCAGTCATCTACAGTTTGATACTTGTGACACTGTTATAATACCTGAATTTGCTCTCTTGGTCTTAAAAATCAACTTTACATTTAAATAGAGTCCATTTTCTCTGAAATCTATTGGAAATGCTTTCAAGTGGTTAGTGATTTACTTTATTTGTATTAATATTTTGTAGATAATATTCTTCTTAAAATCTTACTGGAGGTACCATTTTCTTAACCATTTTCTATATGCTATTTATTGCAACTGTTTTTGTATAAACATACAAATTAGCAGCAGGACTAGGCCATTTGGGCCCTCTAACCTAGTTCACCAATTAACAAGGTCATGGCTGATCTGATTCTGGTGTCAACCCTACTTTCCCACCTACTCTGAAAAACCATTGACTCACTTGTTAATCAAGACTAAAAGTTATTCTATTTCCCAAGCCATGGCATGAATGCTGGTGCTGTCCTTGCAAATAATGAGTTAAATTTAGAAGTTCTGACACTTTGCTTTGTTTGTCTATTAATTACTTGGCTGATGCAGAATGTCTTCTATTGTAAGCTGACAAGATGAATTGTGAAAATAGGGATTTAAAAAACTGAGAATTTTGTACAGAGTGGCCACTGTGCAACTTCAGTAATTAGGACCAGACATTGGAGTAAATGACCTTATTCAGGAAGCTGTACAACACTGACACAATTATCAAATGCTTATATTGATGGCAGTATCTTTTCCATTGCAGCTCATCAATGTAATGAGCAGATGATAGGAATGAGAAACCACAAACAATGAACATATCTTTCAGATATCTCAGTTCCACTGAGCATTGTCATTTCCTTGGGCCACATCAATGGCTGAAAATTATAAGTGTTTTGGTAGTGCTAAGCATTTGACTCGCATTTGTAATTTGGTAGCTTTAATTGAAATCATAAAGCAGTTTTACTAGCCAACGGTCTGATGCAGTTTATTTCACTAACTGTAAAGTTTTTGGTACATCTTCAGCTTGAATTTTCTGTTAAGATTGAAGGACCTATTTTGCATTTCAAGTGTTTTCTGTACCTACCATACTTATTTTACACTTTGTGTTGCAGATTGTAACCATCGTTATGAAGAATTCAGAGCTGATAGCCGTTGACTTGAACAATGCAATTCGGTGAATTTCAGGCATCCAAATAGGGGCAGTTCAGGGCACTATAATTGAAACCTGTCTTGTCTGAAAGCATGGGCTGAGTTTAAATAATTAAGTTTTTAAATTCTGCAGCTTGACTTCTTTACAAAACTGTCAAAGTAAAATCCAGGCTATTCATTTGTGTTTGTAGTGACTCCCAGTGTTGTGAATGAAGGACAAAACCTAGTTTCTTAAAAGTGACATGCCAGTCACCTGTTTCTCTCTCTCCAGAGTGCCCATATGGCTTTGATTGATGCACTGATGATGGCTTATACAGTAGAGATGATCAGCATTGAAAAAGTAGTGGCCTCTGTGAAGCGTTTCTCTACATTTAGTGCCTCAAAGGAATTGCCGTATGATCTGGAAGATGCCATGGTCTTCTGGATAAATAAGGTAAACATGCAAAACTTTGCTGCCTATACATTGTAAACTTGTATTTCCATTCTCTCCATGTTCATTCCCAGTCAATTAAACCTTAAATCGGTGGTAGCACCCAAATGCCACACCAGAGACTTCAGCATACAATTTAAGCTGTCAGTTCACTGCGCTACTGGAGATTTCACATTTTTGAAGGTGTTGTCTTTTGGATGAGACATTTGAGTTGAGACCTGCCTGCTGCCTGAGGTTTTCCTGGTGTCCTGGCCAATATTTATACCTCAAAAAAACAGCATGAAAGTAGTAGAATATAAACTGCAGACGCTGGAAATCTGAGACAAAAGCAGAATATGCTGAACACTAAACAGGTTATACAGCATTTCTGGAGAGAATAGATGCGTTAGCTATTCAAATTTGAATTCTTTATTAGACTTGCAAGGTAAGCAGTATTTTAAGACATACAAAGCAAAATTTTTTTTATCTTCCATCCATCTTTCCCTGTTTTCTTAAGGAATGAATAGCATTCTTTATTCCTCTCACCAAATGAATCGCTTTATATGTTACTGAATTTCATTTGCCATATATCTGCTCATTTTGGAAGTTTATTTATGTCTTCCTATAGTTATTATGTTGTGGAGGTGCCGGTGTTCGACTGGGATGTACAAAGTCAGAAGTCACACGACACCAAGTTATAGTCCAACACGTCCTCAGGTGATGAAGGAGCAATGCTATGAAAGCTTGTGATTTCAAATAAACCTATTGGACTACAATCTGGTGTTGTGTGACTTCTGACTTTATAGTTATTAGCTATACCTCAAAATTTGACATTGTCTGTGAATTTCAAAACCATAACTCCAATTTACCATCTCAAGATCTTTATGTACATAATGAACAACAGTGGGTCCCAGCATTAGATCCATTTCGCAGAGTCATAGAATCTCTACAGTAAGGAAGAAGGCCATTCATTCATTCACTGGATGATGGTGTTGCTGGCTAGGCAGCATTTATTGCCCATCCTTTATTGGCCAGAAGGCACTTAAGATTCAGCCACATTGCTGTGGGTCTGGAGTGACATGTAGGTCATAGCAAGTAAGGATAGCAGTTTCCTTCCCCAAAGGGCATGAGATGAACCTGACAGGTTTTTTCTGACAAATCGATAATAGATTTATTGTCATAATTAGACTCTTAATTCCAGATTTGTTTTTTGTATTGAATTCACATTCCACAACAGCCATGGTGGGATTTGAACCCAGGTCCCCAGAGCATTACCTGGGTCTCTGGACTAAGAGTCCAGCGATAATACCACTAGGTCATCCACCCCTCCCCCATCCATACCGACCTGCAAAGAACACGCCATCCAGACCCACCCTGTACTCTATCCTGTAACCCTGCATTCTCCATGGCTAATCCACCTAGCCTGCACATCCCTGGATGCTATGAGCAATTTAGCATTGGCCAGTTCACCTAACCTGCATATCTTTGGACTGTGGGAGCAAACTGGAGCACCCAGAGTAAATCTGCACAGACACAGAGAACGTGCAATCTCCACACAGACAGTCATCGAGGGTAGAATCAAACCTGGTTCCTTGGTATTGTAAGGCAGCAGGGCTAACCACTGAGACACCATGCTGCCCCAATTTCGTTGTTTTTGTGTTTGAGAAGCTTCCCTTATCTCTTCCTCTCAATTTTCTTTATGATTTTTTTCCTATTTATTCCACTACAAGCCACTAATGCTACATACTGGACCTTTCACATAAATTTATTGTGTGATACCTTATCAGATACCTTTCAGAAGGAATTTTTATCACATCTATTTCGTTTTCTTTGTCTGTTATTCAACAAAGCATTCAGTGTGGTTGATTTTCTTCTAGTTTTAACTCAGTACCTCACAGTGCCAGTGACCAGGTTCTATTCCAGCCTTGGGTGATTGACTGTTTGGAGTTTGCACATTGTCCTCATGTCTGCATGGGTTTCCGCCGGGTGCTCCGGTTTCCCCCCTCAGTCCAAAGATGTGCAGGCTATGTGGATTGGCCATGGTAAATGCGGTGTTACGGGGATGGAGAGAGCGAGTGGATCTGGGTGGGATGCTCTCCAGAGGGTTGGTGCAGGCTTGATGGGCTGATTGGACTCTTTCTGCATTGTATGGTTTCTGTGATTCTACTTTGCTATTTTCCTTATGGAATGCTCTTTTTTTGAATTTAGTTACTCTCTCCTTTTATGGGTAATATCGATAAACTATTGATTCAAAGTCCGAAGTAATGTTTTAGACATCCAGGTTCAAATCCTGCTGTGGCAGATGGTGGAATTTGAATTCAATGACAGATCTGGAATTAAGGCTCTAACAATGACCATGAAACCACTATCAATTATTGGAAAAGCCCATCTATTTTGCTGATGTCCTTTTAGGGAAGGAAGCTGCCGTCCTTATCTGGTCTGGCCTACATGTGGCTGCGGACCTCCAGCAAGGTGACTGACTCCTTAAAAGCCCTCTGGGCAATTAGGGATGGGCAATAAATGCTGTCCTGGCGATGACCACATGCTGTGAATGAATAATTTTTGGCCAATTTATTTATACTTTCTTTTCTCCTTGGTTGTTTTCTCAAATCTTTGTGCTATCTATACTTTTCCAAATAATTGTCTTAAATCTTATTATGATTTGACCACAACTATTTTGCTTCATTTATCTGCTCCAGCTCATCTCCTGTTATGTGATTTTGCTGAACTTGCTCCTTTGTTGAGTTTTTGACATAGTGGGACCAAAATGAATCTTGTGTGTGCTGTTTCTTTCAAATTCATCCCCTTTTTCCCATTTGCTTCCTTTCCCTGCCAGTTTACCTGGGGAGATTGACAATCTTACATGATGATCATGCTATTTTCTATTGTTCATTTTCCCATATATTTGGCTATATATTTTTCCCTGTAATAAAATTAATCAGAAATAAAAGTAAAACTAGGAAAATCTTGAAATACAAAGGCAGTGGAATTTGGAACTTGAGAGCCAAAACAATAATATACAGGTTTGAAGAAGTCATGATCAAAGTGCTAAGTGCTCTGATCTGACCGTACCTGGAACACTTTGTACAGTCCTGGTCACCAGCAAATGAGGGAGATGCTCAAGCCCTGGAAGTAATGCAGGTTTTCAATTTTCCAATGTTAAATATACCGAAAGACATTTCAACTTCATTACATTTCTAAATTTGGAACCATCAAAAGCTTATTTTTGCCATGCATTAAGTTTATTGTTCTTCGTGTGTTGCTATGTTTTGTAAAGGTGTAATTACCCCCACATGTGTTTAACAACATAGATTAGTTTGCATTAAGTAGCAACAGTCGATAATCATGGAAGGTTGTTGGTCCAATTGGCATTCAGGCAGCTACCTAAATTGGCAAAAGGCCAGATTGTTCATCAGCTGATCAACAAAAGTCACAAAGATAAAAATGTATGTTGCACTAAGAAGGCAGCATGTTTGAGTCCTTCATTAAATTCAGAATAGTTGTTTTTATTATCGTAATGCTGTTATGAATTATAAGAATTAATTTAGCTGACTTAATAATTGATCCAACTGTCTGTCAGGATTACCTGCAGTAATAGTTTGCTTACAAAATTGATCCATATAAAATCTCAGACACGACTCTTAAAATTATTGCTTCCAAGTTCTTGATATTTCCCTTGAGACGTGGAATTATTGAAACATTGTAAAGAATGGCATCCAGTGTATCAAAGATGATACCTAGTGGATAATTTGTTTGCAGAAACTTCATTGTTTTCAGTTTGTTTACTGGTTGGCTATGATTGGGCATTGCTTCCTGTTGGCTTTAGGACAAGTGGACTTGACAAGTGTTTGTTTGTGTTGACAGGTATTAAAGCTGACTCATAATCTTGATGTTACTGTGAGATCACAGCAGTCTCTCAAATGTTAGACTAATAATGATTGTGACTGAATGGGTTATTGTTGCTAAACTAGGAAGAAGTGATTGCATTTTGAGCTGTAACTATTCTGTATTACTTATGGTATAAATCACCTTTCAGGGCTACAGTACATCCCAGAGTGCTAAATGACCATTAAGTACTTTTGTACTATTACAGCATAGACAAATGTTTAGTAAGTTATGAACAAGGCAAGTTCTCACAAACGGCAGTGTGAGAATGACCAGGTAATATGTTTTAATTATTTAAAAGGATAAATATTTGTCAGAATGTTAGATAACTCTCCTGTTCTTTGAAATAATGACTTGAGGCCTTTATGTCAACTACAGAGAGCAGATGGTGCCTCATTTTAATATCTCAATTGGAAAGTGGCACCTTTTACATTACAGTCTCAATATGCACTATGGTGTCAGCCTAGATTTTTGTGCGGAGGGCTCTGGAGTTGAAAGTATATCCACAACTTTTTTGACTCAAGTGAGCATTAACAGCTGTTAATTTTACAAGTGTGCAACATGGTTTAAATATGTAATCTCTATAATTTCAGGCATGCAATCACTTGCGTGTAAAGGCAGTTTATTTCCCCCAGCATTTATTTTTAATCTCTCTTCTACTTCTGAGTGACTTGTTTTGAAGAATTATTCCACATTTTTAAGCAATCTTCAAAGCTCTTGATTAGAGTTTATGTACAAGATACATTAATAAAAGTGCTTGCGTATTGTTGATTGCTGGAAAATAAGAAACTGAAAGGATGGTTTCCTTGTTTTATGTGTTCTCAATCAGGGTTTCTGTGTTAGAAATACAACTAGTGTTTTATTTTCATATGGCTCAGCCCTCCATGACGTATTCACCTTCACCTATTCATTTCCATTTTAAGATGTATCTCTTTGCTACCTTGCTATTTCAGGTGAACTTAAAAATGAGAGAGATTACGGAAAAGGAGTTTAAACTTAAACAGCAGATTGTGGAGAGCCCAAGTCACCAAAAGGTTAGTCTGATAGATTTATCAAGTTGTCCTAGGCCATGCATCAGTATTCATTTAACTTTTGGCAACTAAATGCATTTTTCCTCAAGTATACTTATAGTAATTTATTGAAGGATGTGTGTTATCAAGCAAGCAACTGTTTTGTAATCTTGTTAAATATACATGTTACTCTTTATGTATCTTCTAGTATTTGATAATTAAATGAGGTATAAAATGTCAATAATGTAGTTGTTGGCTTGCTTGCCGAGCGTTTAATAGATTTTTTCCGTTGAAAGATTGCAAATGAAGTCTTCAACACACAGCCACTTGTGTTTATCACTGACACTGCCAGTCAACAGATTTAATAATGACTGAGGTTTTCCTTCTTGTTAGCATTAATTTCCTCCTATGTACTCCAACCTGATGGACTTTTTCTTTTATCTTGACACTGCATTGATCAATGCATGTCCTGTCTATGTCACTATTTCCATGGCAAAAAGGCCAATGTGTTTGAGACAGATCGTTTTTCTGAAGTGTATGTATGTTCACATCTTTTAATGTACAGTGGCTCACCGATCACCGGTGGGGTTGAGACCTCTGATTCCTATGAACTCAGGACACTCCCTGCTCTCTGCAGTTCCTACTCACTTGCTCACTACCCACTTCATGCATTGGAACAGGATATTTCACAGCTGTCTTAGCACTTACTTGCTTTGAGCCTGCTTGAATACATTCAAGCATTTCCACCGTCCCTTACCCGTCAACACAGATAGCTAGGCTGTTTGTCACATTTGGCAGCAATTAACAGTGAAAGGGAACTATGGTCAGTCAGAAGGCTGGTGCTTTGTTAGTAAGGAAAGGTGGTGAGGGTAGAATGGACTGAGCTTGAGGCAGTGGAATGAAGAAATCTGGCAACACCACCACCTGCAAATTCCTCTCCAAGCCATTCACCATCCTGACATGGAAAGATATCGTCCTTCCTTCACTTGTTGGGTCAAAATCCTGGAATTCCCTCCCTAACAGCACTCTGAGTCAACCCAAAACATGTGGACTACAGTGGTTTAAGAAGGCACCTGACAGTGGTGAGCTTCTCAAGTGCAACTAGTGACAGTCGATAAATGCTGGCCAGCCAGTGACACCCATGTCCCACGAACGAATTTTTTAAAAATATGGAATGATACCTTAAGCGGAACAGAGCCCTGAGGTACACAGATATTCGAGTTATTTGAAGTAGAAATAGAAAGTTGCCTGCAAATTGTTCTAAGTGCGTAAAGAAAGATCAAGAGGAGTGGCAGGTAGAGTCTGAGAAGCTGGGAACGAGCTGGAGTTGCTAAAATGCCACCTAGTGTCTCAAGGCTCAAAACTGCATCATGACCAATATGTAGAATTGCCAATCTGAATATCTACCTGGGAGAGCTATCATATTGAAAAGCATTATTCAAAATCCTGACATGGGCAGTCAGGTTTGTATGGACTATGTGTTTACCATAATCACAATCTTTAATATCCAATGGAAAGTTAGGTTCTTGATCAATCTCCTAAATTGACATCTGAATTCTACTTTATGTTGAATGCAAAGTTCAATGTGCTGTCACACCAGAATGGAAACGTTTCTCGGCTTTCTTGAACAGAAATTGGTTGTTAAAGATGCTTTCTATGATGTCACTGATTAATTGTATATAAAAAATTGTTTAATGAGATGTAGGTGCCGCCGATCAGGAAACCTTTCTTGCGCATCCCTGATTATCCTTGAGAAGGCTGTGGTGCGCCATCTCCTTGAACTGCTGCAGTCAGTGTGGGTATAGGTACTGTGTACTACTGGTGTAACAGTAAATGTCCCCTAGTTGACCCAGTGTGGAAAATTGGAGCCTTACATGTAACAATATATATTTTTTAGAAACCTAACTGCCAAGTGACTTTAAATGAATTTTTGAGGTCCAGTGCTGTGTCTTCGCCCGGACTCCAATTCCCTGCAGCCCTATTGCTAAAAGGCGTCAGATGAGTACTCTTGATTATCCTTTGAAGCAAAGTTGACTGATCATCGTATGGGATGTTCAGTATGGTTCTGGCAGATAATTAGGTGACTGCAAAGCTGATCTGCTCCTGGAATCAGAGATAGTAGGAACTGCAGATGCTGGAGAATCCGAGACAACAAGGTGCAGGGCTGATGAAGGGTCTAGGCCCGAAACGTCAGCCTTTCTGCTCCTATGATGCTGCTTGGCCTGCTGTGTTCGTCCAGCCCTGCGCCTTGTTGTCTCTGCTCCTAGAATGGTCTGTTACAAATAGGGCAGGATGCTAGTTGAGCTGCTGGCTGGGGGTTTCCTGCTCATCTGTTTACCTCCACCTCTGATATCCAGTTGCTTTCGAAGGAGTTTTTTTATCTGGTTGCCCCAGGTGTAGTGATCCTGGAAAAACCTCTCCCAGATTTTGCGGTTGATGTCAAATCTCGAATTGCAAGCTTCAGAGTGTCCTTGAGGGCTTCCTTTGATTACCATGAGATCAAATCTTAGACTTGAGCTGACCAATGAAAATTTGCCTTGGCTAAGCAAGTGTCAGGCATTCTGACTACATAACCAGCCCATCCCCACTAAGCCTGTCTCAATAAGGTATGGATGCTTGGTATGATGCTGGTACACAGTCCAAGATTCGTACGCATGGAGTCGCGTAATCAGAGTTACTGTTATATAAACTCCCACTTGGATAACTGGACTGATTAATGTTCATTCTCAGACTGATTCTCAAAGATTGCTGAAGGCTACATTTACTTTGGCAATTCCTGCATGTGTCTCATCATCACTTATAGACAACTTAGGAGAGTATCTTGCCAGGATAAGTGGATTTATCCCTGTTGACAGGTTCTGGTCTTCACCTGAAACCTGGGGCTGAAGATGTGGCTTTCCTGGAACAAACAGGCACATTACTTCAGTTTTAATCATAAGGCTGAAGTGGTTCAGGCATTTAAGAACAAGTCCATTGCAAGTCCAGCCCTCACCCAGCAGCTAGCATTGAGTCACAGGCAAACATGAAATTAGGAAGTATGTCCCTGAAGATCAAAGTCTTTGCCCGGAGTTGTCTTAGATTAAGCAGCTTCCCATATCTGATTTTGATTCCAGGCTTGCCAGGAAGGCATTATATAGGCATTGGAGAGGGTGTAGAGAAGATTTACAAGGGCTGATACCAGAAGTGCTTGGAATTACATCGCATGAATAGATTGACAAGCTGGGTCTCTTGAGAAAAGAAGCTGAGAGGTGACCTTATAGAGGTTTTTAAAATTAAGAAAGGTTTTGATAGTCTACCTGTAAGTAATGTTTGCTCTTGTGGGGAAGAGCTAAACTCTTAGCCATCGACATAAGATTGTCCGCAAGAAATCCATTAGGCAATTCAGAAGAAATTTCTTCACTCATTGAGTGGTAAGAATGTGGAACTTGCTGCCACAGGGAGTATTTGAAGCAAACTGTGTAGATGTATTTAAGGAGAGGCTAGACAAGCAGCTGAAGGAGAAGGAAGTAGATGGTTGCAAAGGTATGTTTCAGTTAGAAAAGATGAGCAGAGGCTCAAGTGTGTGTTAAAAAAACAAAAACATAAAATTGGCATAGGCTGTGAGGCCAAATGGTCTGTTTCTGTGTCATATGTCCAGTGTAATCTTAGATATGTAAAGGAACTGCTGGGAGCATGGTCATGTCTCTATGCCTAAAAAAGAATACATCTCTTTCATTCTCTTTTGGGTTTTCAAGACACCTTTGATGGCCTAACAAAGGGCTTTTTCATCTTTTTTCATTGAAACAACTTATTTTAGGATACATTTTACCTCAGCGTCATAATAGAACTGGGGGGCTACTATTGTCATACTACTTAATTTGGTGTTGAATTCCATGTAGCAACTTTAGTCTAATGTTCAGAGTAAATTAGCTACAGGGATAAACTCGAATGTATGTGTTGAAGACTCACCTCAAAGGATTTAGGTTGACTGTCTGGTCAGCAGGCTTTCATTTTGAGTAGTTATTCATTCTCCATATCGTTTGCAGACTTGATGGAAGATTTGAATAATCACAATATGGGGTGAATTGCCCATATGTTCACAAGTATGCATGCTGGGAAGCTAGTAATCCTGGATTTGTTCAAATCTATCTTTGACCATATGAAAAAATGACTATTGCCACATTTACTTGCAATCTAAATAGAATTACATATTAATATGGGAAACATATTCATGGTCAGTATAATATTTGTATTATTCCAGGCTGGTGAGGCTTTAGATCTGCCTGGTAAGATTTAAAAAAAACAATTGAATCTGAAAGAGAAGACAAAATGCTGGGGATAAACAGCCAGTCAATAGCATTATAAAAGGAAAAAAAACATGTTATGTGATGCATTATGATACATAAGAACATAAACATAAGAACATGAGAAATAGGAACAGGCATGGGCCATTCAGTTCTTATGCTCTTTCTGCCATACAGTGAGGTCATGTCTGTTCTTTCTGCACTATCCCTGTATAACTTGATGTTTTAGTACATAGAAAGCTATCAGTTGTGATCTTGTGCATTTTCAATAATTGAGCCTCCATAGCCTTTGCGCAGGGAATTTCAAGGATTCAGTGCCCTCTAAGAGAAGAAATCCATCCTTGTCTCAGACCTAAATGGCTTGCCTTTAATCTGAGACCATTTCCTCTGGTTCCAGAGGTCTCCCCTGCCAGTCCCCCCAGGAGCAACATGTTTTCCATATTTACACTATCTGTCTCTGTTTTGCATCGCACCACCGTGCCCAACAATGAAGGAAAGAGCAGGCCAGTTTGCAGCGTTAGTGCTTGATCTGGGTGAAATCAGCAGGTTTTGCAGCATTTACTGCATCTACTGCATCTTACATTTTAATCTGTAAGAAAAATGTCATGTAGCCTTTCCAATCATATTTAACTTTTTCTGGTAATTTGTAATTTTTTGCTTTTCTCAATAGTCTTTTTCTGTCATTTTTGCCTGAAATTTGCAACCACGTGAAATGAGCAATGCCCCAGATCAAAAGAAATT